ACCCTCCGCCCTCCAGGAACATTCCGGTGGCACATGGCAGCTATTGTTCTACCCCAAAAGGTGACCCTTTCAAGGTCATCTCTGCTACATAAACCTTGGCTCTGCCAAAGGCTCACGGAACGCCCAGGGGGCACTGGAATTTGCTACCTAGCAGGATGTGAGGGGCCCCTGTCTTCATGTGAAGCACCTCTCAAGAGAGAGCTTGCCCACCTCGGCTGCTGCAAACGGCTGACGCGCTAGGCTGCGAATGCAAAGGTTGGCGGTTTGAGTCCACCCAGGGGGGGAACCTCAGACAACAGGCTGGGGATTTACTTCGGAAAAACCTACCATTAGAAATCCTAAAGCGCGTCGTTCCACTCAGACACACAGGGGTCACATGAGCCACGCTGACTCTACAGCAATTGGTTTAAAGGTCTGTTGGGGGGGAGGGAGACAGGGGAGGGAGCTCAAAGATGTTTCCATTTGACATTTAAAGGAATGCTCAATAACATCCTGGAACTCGGGAATCATCCATGAGGCCGTGGAGGCGAGAAGGAGCTTGGAGAAGGGCCAGCGAGACTTCAGTGTGAGCCGCACTCCATTAAGCAGATGATTCAGCTGAGCCCTTCCCCTGGGCAGGGGCTGTGGGCCATGCTGAGCCTGTGCCGCCTCAGCAGTGGTGGCTCAACCTCCCAGAGAGCTGGAGCAAGAATGTGGGTCTAAGCCTGAGGGAGCGCATCTCTCCCCGTCTCAACATATTCACCACGAAGCACCGTGTCAGTAAAAGTCTGAACACTAGAGAATTAGTGCCTCTCTGCTTGCTCTCCAACATTTGCGTGTGCTCAGAATGCGCTTCGCCAGTCATTGGTGCATTCGAGGACCATGGCTTGTTTGGGGTTTGTTCTTGTGGTGGGGCAGGGGGACAGTTCCTTTGACTAACTGTGGTCTTGTGATAAACAAGGGAGTAGCACAGCTGGCGACGGAACTAAAGAACTTGCCTGGTCCCGTTTATACCCATCTTTCAACCTGTGATGCTAACCACGGCCAGCTTACAAGAAATAAGTAAATGTACTTCAGAACATGCTCTGCAGTCCCCAGATAGCTTTAATAAATGGATACAAAGGTAAGCCAGCCTGGAAGTCATCATCCAAACACAGGGACATGCTGGGAAAGCCATGTGGCTGGTGGGGTTCTGGTGTTAGACTCCGTGGGCAAACCAGTGCCTTTCTCGAAGTCTCAGTTTCCCTCGGGGAACCAGGGGGAAGAGGAGCAAGCTTGCGAGATCATTGCAACCGCAGGAGACCGGCCACGCGACGAGCCCATCCTCCCTCACGGTGGTTGACATGGTTGTTGTGGAGCCCATTCCAAACCGTGGTATGCAGAGCAGAACCCTCCAGGGAGCTTCCAAGGCCCAGGAGGAGACCACCAGGCCTGTCTTCTGAGGAGCCTGGGGATTGGGTGGTGGGGGGTGCTTTGGGGAGGGTGTTGAACCACCAGCCTCTTATCTATTGGGTTCTTAACAATTTGTGCCCCTCACAACTCCTGCCAGCACAATCTCAAACCAACTCACGACTGTTGAGTCGCGTCCAACTCAATCTATAGAGAGTTTCTAAGGCTGAAAGCTTTGTGGGAGCAGACAGCCTCATTTTGCTCCCACAGGGTAGCTGGTAGGTTTGAACTGCTGACCTTGCTGTTAGTCGTCTACTGCTTACCTCACAGGGCCACCAGGGCTTCTTGCCAAACATAATAGATGCCCTATACATTACAACAATTATAGACAGTGAAGTCAGTGTTTTTCAATCTGGCTTTTTTAATATATTATATTTCACTGCACCCAACCATTGCTCCATCAGCGCTGCGGATCCCCTGGCCCCAATGCCACCCAGGCTGCCCCCGCCCTCTCTGGTATGAGGGTCTGCTTGTAAATGGGTGGTATTAAACAGCCTGCCCCCAAGTCCACGAGTCTCCAGGGAAAGAGAAACCTGAGCTTTTGTGCAGACCCCTCTCTAAGTATAATCAAAAGCGAGCAGATCATAAACAACAGAAAAGTCTAAACGGCGTTCAGCCTCGGATGCAAAGGCAGCTCCTCGTCTTCCCTGCAAACTGACACATAATAAATCAGCAGAAGGCAGTCAGAAACCCTTCCTACTGGTCTACCCAAAGCAGGCAGTCCCCCAGCCTCGAGATAAATGGTGATTTCCAAGGCCATCCAGGGACAGCTACAATAATTCACCTGGAAATCCAAAAGCCCTCCACTAAAGAGATATCTTGGGCTTTGAGGGCATTACTGACCTGCTGCATCTCTTCTGGGGACTTGCCTGGGGTGGGGGTGGGGCAGAAAACAACATGGCCAAGAGAAACAAGAACTGGATGATTACGAAGACCCAAACGTTCATCCGCCTGAACCAGCCAGGGGACATGTGACCTTGGGAAAATCCCTTCACTTTTACCAACCCCCAGGTTTCCCACCCCTAAAATGGGAGAGAAAATCCCTGGCCTATTTGCCTTGAAGGCTGCTTGCAAGCAGACCGGAGCTGGAAGCATTTGGAAGCTGGGACTACTGTGATTGCTGCTGTCACTCGTCACGCCAACCCCATTCTGCGAAGCTCAGAGAGCCAGTTTCTTTCCCCATCCTCTATGGCAAATTGATCTAGCACCAACTGCTGACTTGTGGAGACGTAAGCCTTTCCCTCCCTTCTTTGGGCTTCTTCCCTGCCGACCGTGAGCCCGCAGATACTGCCCCCCTGGCCCCCTGACAGGACCGGAATGAAATGTCCCAAGGCCACAAACCTGCCAAGCTGCATAAGGAGCACTGGTGGAGCAGTGGTTAAATACTCAGCTGCTAGTCGAAAAGGTCAGCGGTTCGGACACACCAGCCACTCCCCAGGAAAAAGATGTCACAGGCAGATTCCATAAAGATTTGCAGCCTCAGAAGCGGTCCCGTGGGACGGTTCTACCTTGTCTTGTCAGAATCAGCTTGATGGCAGCGGGGTCTGGCCAAGCAGCATGCTGCCCGGGAGCAGGTGGGGTTTCCTACTGCCCTGTGCACGCATGCCCACAGGCAAGGAAGACAGGCAGTCTCTGATTTCCAAGCAAATGACTCTGTGCGGATCTTTACCTAGGAGTCTCTTCCACTTGCCATGTTTTTATGCATAACTTCTTATCTCTACTTGATTATGCTGAAATAAGACTATGAATATTAATGGGTGGAATTTATAATTTAGCACGGTGCCTTCTCTGCTGATTAATTCAAGGACATTTTATTTCTGAAGCAGCTGCGTTCCTGGAGTCGTCAAACACCTTTTCCTGGACGTTCACCTGAACTGAAGACTGTTCAGCTCCCAGGTCAAGTTGAAAGCAGGGTCTGGCCTCACAGTCATCTTTGTCTCAAAGGATAAGTGTCCTGGGCATGGAGGTGGCTGGGCTGAAACCTCAGGAAAACGGGCTTTGCATCTTGCAGGAGAGCCAGAGCCGCCCGCACATGCACGGCCTTGTACTAAATAATGCATGATGTGATTATAGCTGTGCTTGGACTTCACCTGGGCAGAAAACGGAAGCGTCCCTAATTGATTTCTGACTTGACTGAGCAGGTGGAAGGGGTCAGCCCTGCACCACTGAGTCACATTGCCCCAGCCAGCGCAGAGAAAGGCGAACCTTGTAGGTGAACTCCAGCTGGTTAGAGGAAAGCAGGTGAGCACAGGGCTGAGACAGGGTGTTGACCAAATTCTTTCCAGAATGAGTGGCCTACAGGCAAAGTCCAAAGCAAGCTCCCAGGGCAAGCTTCCACGTTGGTCTCATGCTAGAGACAACTGTGCAACGTTCGCACTGAGGCCATCGCAAGCAATGGCCCAGAAAGGGGTGGGGGTGGGACAAAAGGGGCGAGAAAGGTGGCATGAGAAGATAAGAGGAAGTGAAAGGAAAAGAGGGAGGGCAAGAACAAGAGAAGGAAAATGTTGGAAGGAGTGATGGAGGAGCAGGGGGCATTGGTAAAGTGGTGGTGAGGCACTCGGCGGCTAGCTGAAAGGTCACCAGTTTGGATCGACCAGCTGCTCCCTGGGAGAAAGAGGTGGCTGTCCACTTCTGCAAAGACTCAGCCTTGGACACGCGAAGGGCCCATCCTACTGCGTTACTATGGATTAGGACCTATGTCACAGCAATGGGTTTGGAGGAGGGGAAGGAACGGGGGCTGGACAAATGTAAGACAAAATGGTCAAGCGTCTGGGGTTAGAAAGAAGAATTAAGAAGGCTGGGTGCAAAAAGATTCGGAGGGACGGACGGGCCGAGGGTGGAGAGAAGGAGATAAATAGGGCATCCAAGCTGGACTAGGAATCAGAAGGAAAGGAGAAAGAGAAGAGGGATTTGGACACAAGGAGGCAGGGAGAGAGGAAGTAAGTGAAAGAAAAGGTAGAGGGGAAACCAACAGACAGAGAGACAGAAACACAACCAAAGCTGCAGGGGTGAGGCTTGCTGGGAGAACGAGAGGCCAGAGCCCTGTGATATGGAAGTGAGCGCATCCATTTCTTCCCGGGTTCTCCTTTGCCCTGCTCCAAGAGCTCCTTAAGGTGCTCAGGACCAATAATGAGAGCAGCCAGACCAGGAAGAGAAGGGGAACGTGGGGGAGAAAGGGGGAACCGATCACAATGATCGACATATAACCCCCTCCCAGGGGGACAGACAACAGAAAAGTGGGTGAAGGGAGACAGTGGTCAGTGTAAGACATGAAAATATAGATATAAATTATCAAGGGTTCATGAGTGAGGAGGGGGAAATGAGCTCATACCAAGGGCTCAAGTAGAAAGAAAATATTTTGAAAATGATGGCAACATATGGACAAAGGTGCTTGACACAATGGGCATATGTATGGATTGTGATAAGAGCTGTATGAGCCCCCAGTAAAATGATTCTTTTAAAGGCGCATACAAATAAAAGATTCACTGCAAAAGAAACTCAGACGCTTCCCAGGGATAGAAACGGGCTGCCTTTGATGAGATGGAGGAGGGGCTGCTTGTAACGTGCTGGGGGCGGGAGAGGGCTGTTTTGTCTGTTCATTTCTGTCTAGATCATGTTTAAAGAGAAAGAAAATGCTTACTTGAGAGAGTTCTTTCTGGAACTTCTCGGAGAGTGTGTGAGCTGTGAACTCCAGCTGCTCCAATCTGTCAGCAGGAAAGGTGGTGTCTGGCAGGAGGACGGAGCACTGGCAGGTCCCGTGATGATCCAGGGAGCCGTTGAAATTGGAAAATGGCTGTAAATGAAAATAAATTCAACGTCAATCCTAAGCTGGGACGTGTGGTCTGGGGCATGTGGAGTAGCAAATATCAGCTTGTCATAAGAGCGCTGGTTTTGCCTTTAACTGTGGCCAAGTAGGCTCCCAATCAGGGTGACCCGAGGCACAACGGTGCCATCTCCAGGATCGGTTACAACTGAGACCGCTGTGACCCACGGGACTTTGATTGGCTGGCTTTCAGAAGTAAGTGGCCAGGTCTGTCCTCGTGGTCCATGTTGGTCAAGATGCTCTACTGAAACCTGGTCAGCACCCTAGCAACCAATAGGAAAGCTACCACTGACAGATGGGGAGTGGCCGTGCAGGACGTGCACTGGCCAAACAAGGAAACCAGGGGTCCACATGGAAGAGCTCTTCATGAAGCCACCACTGTTTCCATGACAGTGCTTAGAGGCAAGTAAGTGGTAGTGGTGGTGGGGGTGGTGCATAAATAAATGAAAATACTACAGTAGCCATGTTGTCACCAGTAGTGCCTGCATAGCATTTAGCCCCATTTTCACCTGTTTGACTAAGCCACTATGTTGGCAGCCTTTATCTAAAGGAAAATCCTTCATTCTTGATCAGTCTGTAAAGAAATGAGTACTGTCTCTGTGTAAAGAAAGTCTTCCTATGCCTGGAGGTGCACACAGTCCAGTGCTTTACTCCTCAAACCACCCTGTGTGTGGCTCCCCTGGGGGCAATCTGACCATCTACTCCCTAAAAGAGGTCAGGCTAGGTGATCCGTGGGGCAGTTCTGTTCTGCTAGAAGAAACTGACTCAATACCGCTTAACAATAGCAACCACCTGTGTGGAATTCAAGCAAAGACTCGTGTCCAGAGACCAGAAGAACTAGACAGTGCCCAGCTACCACTACCAGCTATTCTAATTGGGGTCCCAACAGATGTGCCCTGATAGATCAGGAGAGAATCATGCAATTGAATTCAAATTCTTACAAGGCCCAACTCACTGGACCAACTGAGACTAGAGGACTCCCTGAGACTATTGTCCTGAAATATTCTTTAAACCTGGCACCCAAACTCATCTTGTGGTGAAATAAGAGATTGGCATGCAACATAAAGGCATACCACATAAACCCATGAATACAATTCTCTATTTTAAAAGTTTAAAAGCAAACTATATGATGACACCCAAAGCCAACAAGTTCTCTAAAGCAAACATGAGAGGAAAAGACTGGGAAGAGAAGATCCAGAAGGAAGTTACAGAGATTATTGGCATGTGGTGAAAAGTATACCTGGTGCTGCTGGATAATTGATGTGGAAATTGTCAAATAGGCATCTGGTTTGTTGTGTAAGCTTTCACCCCCCCCCAAAAAAAAAATAAAAGAAAAAATTAAAAGAAAAGACACAATGGGAGTTTTGGGTTTTAATTCCCACTCTCTGACTTGATAGACGTGAACCTGCTTCAGGGTCAGTTTCCCTTCCTATGAAATAAAGACAACCTACTTCTGAGTTTTGTCCTGAGGATTAAATGAGTGATGTAGGTACCTGTATTAGTCTAGGTACTTTGGAGAAACAAATCCACAGCAACTCACGTATAAGAGAGAGTTTTATGCAAAGAAAATGTGCATCACGAAAACATCCCAACCCAATGCTGCCCAAGCCCACAAGTCCAACATTAACCCATACCCAACACCAGTCCACAAAATCCTTCACCTCACAAAACAGAGGCAATAATGCCGACTGCAGGAGGAAAGCTGAGTCAGTGAACGCGTAAGCATCTCAGCACGGGCAGGGGTCTCCACACGGCTGCTCCAGCACCCAGGGCTGCATCGGGATAGGTCCAGGTGGCTTCTCCTTGGGGATGTCTTGTAGGAAGTCCATCTTGCAAGCTGAAGCAGGGAACTGCTAAGGCAGCTGCACCCGATACAACCATCACAAAACAAGAGACCCGAGAACTAGAAAGGCGAGGCTTCACCACCCATTTATCCCTCCGCCTTTCAACCAGCACCACATGTGATTATCGGCCAGGCTGGCACAATTAACTAACTCAGTACCTAATAAATGTCATTTTCTCTTTCCTTCTGCTGCCCCGTATGCCTTCTGTTTAGCCCACCCCCAACCCAGTTCCTCCAGCAGGAAAGAGGAAACCACCAAGAGTGTGGATTACGATGGAAATGTATAATGCACATTGATACTCATTTTTCATAAGGGAAATTGGATAAATATGATCCTACACCCTGGAAAGGTTAGAACCAAACCATTCATTTGAAAGACACTGACCATTTTACGAGTTTGAAGGCTCTGTAGACTTTTTTTTTTAATAAAAGTTTTCCAGTTTACCACTTGCTGGAAGGCCATTTCAGAATAGTTGCTGTTTCTTTAAGATATTCAGCCTCACACTTTGGTGCTGCTGCATATTTTAACATGACAGGTTGGAAAGATCCTGCGTTTCTTTTGTCCCCTCTGAACTTCCCCAAGGGGATACTGCCACAATGAATTTTGTATATTATTATGATGATTTCTCCTACTTCCTTACAGAGGAACCATTGGCAGCCACCTGGGTGTTCCTTTCAACGATCTCATCTGATGGCCAGCCCACAGCTCACCACGTGGGGCATCAGCCTGAAGGGTCTGAGTGAGAGGACCAAGGGGCCAACAGTGGTTGGCAGCATTTGAAGAGACTCGGGACTCCTTTAAAGTTCAGGGGGTCAGCCAGCTGCAATTGAGGCTGTAAGCTCTCCACACACGCCCACCTTCACGACTCCTGAACAAGATGGAACTAGGTGCTTCTCTGCCAGCTGTGATCAACTCGATGCGAATGCATGGCGACCCCTGTGTGTCATGGTAGAACGGTACCCAGAGGGTTCTCAACAGCTGTGATCTTTTGGAGGGTGACCGCCAGGATCTTCTTCTCTGTGGCACGTCTCACTCACTCCCTCACGGCCATCAAGCCGGGTCTGACTCACAACAACCTTCCAGGACAGAGTGGAACTGCCCCATAGGCTTCTGGGGCTGTAAATCCTTATGTGGAGTAGTGGGTTTACACATGGATCTGATCACCACAAGGTCAATAAGGGAAAAATTAGGCTTTCTGCTCCGATGAAGATTTACAATCTCGAAAACTCACAGGGGCAACTCTATTCTGCCCTCCAGGGTTGCTGTGAGTCAGACTCAACTTGATGGCAGCGAGTTTGGGGAAATATTCGTGGGAGCAGAAAGCCTCAATTGTCTGCCATGGGGCAGCTGGTGGGTTCAAACTGCTGACCTGATGGTTAGCAGCCCAACATGTTAATGCACTGCACCACCAAGGCTCAGCGAGGCACCTCTGGGTAGATTCAGTCTACAACCATTCAGTTACTAGCTAAATCCAGGGACCCCCTAGATGCTTCTATGATCAAGACTTATTCCATCATCGGCCTCTGAGCCATTGAGACTTTCAGCAATTAGGTTGCTTTTTAATTTAACCTATGTTTCAAAATGAACAGAAATACAGAGAAACATATATACATATACATAGGTACCCAATACAATCTATTTCAGGCAAATTCTTGCCATTGACCTCAGTTTTCCTTTCTAATCCCACCTCCACACCTGCAGGAATTGGGGTGTAAGGAGAAATAAAAACACATTTATGTTTGCTGAACCAGAGTGGGGCGTGGGACAGGAAGGGTCTTGGCCTGGGATGATAGAAAAGATGCCAAGACTCCAGCCCATGCACACCAGGGCCACCATACCATGGACTTTTGAAGACATAGCTTAAGATAACAACTTTTTATGAGGAAAAAACCTTCCACTGCATGTTGTCAAAAAGCAAAAATACCTAATTCGGTGTTATGGGAGTTGATTCCAATTCAAAGCAACCCCATAGAACAGAGTCCATGGGTGCTGGCACTATAATCTTTCAGGAAGCAGACTGCCACTGTCCTTCTCCCTCCGGCCAGCTGGTGGGTTCTAAGTGCCAGCCTTCTGGTGGGCGGCCAGATGCTTGGCCACTGCACTGGCAGGGCTCGTTTGTGTGCATAGAAACCATAAAAGCGACTGTCCTGTACTTGATTCTATCTCAGAGTTAGTCGATAGGACAGAGGAGAACTCCTCCTTAGGGGGTCCCAAGGTGGCACATTTTTATGGGAGCCGATAGTCTAGTCTCTGTCTGGTGGAGCCTGGTAGATTTGAACAACCAACTTCAAGGTTAGCAACCAGACACTTAATTACACTTCCAGGGCTCGTTGCATTTTGAGAAAAGCAAAAGAACGCAACACACTACCATCAAGTCGATGCAGACCCTTCTGAGAGGAAGGCTAGTCAGATGGACAAGAGAGGGCTGGGTCATTCTCAGAGTTCTCTGAAAAGTTCTGTCAACTTAGAAAAAAACAATGGCTCTCATCACACAGTCTCTAGACAATCAGCTAGGAACTAGTAGCTAACCACTTTTCATCCTGAAGTTCACCTGAAAGGCAGGCACATAATTAGGAGCCCTGCTGACAGTCATTCCACCAGCTTCTATTGAGCATCACCATCACGATGCCGTGGACACCCCAGCTTCCATCCTGCTTATCATCGGCCCAGCGTGCTCAGCTGACACCAAAATGGTCCATAAGTTTGATCAGTGTCTCCCATTAGAGATATTTCTGCTCTTCACATTCAAAGACAATGAAGCTAATGGTGATGGGTCTCTCTCTGCGGTGAATGCTTAAACTCGGCGGGTGTGTAACAGGGGCACTGGGAGACTAAAACAAGTGCTTGTCCCCTTGGCCAGTGGAAGGGTATGTGAGCCCCGCTTTGTGGAGGGCAAACAGCATCCTCAACAAGACAGTCTCCACTGGTAGATCCACACTCACTCGGCAGGTATTCAATTAACATTTACTGATATCTACAACATGACTGGCCACCAGGTGATTCAGGCCTATTGTCATTCTGAAAGCCCTGATTTTTCCCCACAAAGCCGGATGGCAAAAGCACCTGTCTGTGGTTCTGAGTCAGCCAGTCGCTATGTGAGGCACAGCATTTAGCTGCTCCTCCGGCCAAGAGCCGAGAGCAACATTTGCAGCAAGGAGACTCCTCCGAGCGCCACAGCAGAAGGTGCGACTCACATTTGTGATTTAAAATTGCAATTGGCTCTAATTAGCAGCCAGGCCTAAGTGCCTGCAAAGATTCAAGGCATAAAATAATGGTACTCAACATTTCAAAGTACAGAAAATGATACGTTTGGAACTTGCTCGATGACAGTTATAAAGGGGTTTCCACTACTTTCCAAAGGGCTCATCAAACTGACAGCCAGGCCCAGCAAATTGGGTTTATAGTAGAAGTGACACCTAGTCCGTTATGTAAAGAAAAAAGGAAAAAAGAAGTAGCAGTTGTGATACTGACTCACCAGAAGGCAAGAAGTCAACGAGGAAGGAGACGAACGCCTACGAGCACAATGTAACTACCCTTTCAGATCTCCTTGTAAAGATGTATCCTCTTAGCCGCCAGTAGGCACTTTTGATTTCTCTGTTTCTAGACTTAGGTCTGATTGTTTGTTATTTTAGCCACTGACCTCATCCAAAGTGCTGCTTTCCAATTGGTGAAGAAGATTGGGCTTCGTCATAATTATTATTGCTAACCACCATTTAAAATGAAAGATAATTGATTCTAATCATTACCAGAAATCATCATTTCATATCACTGAGTAAAATAACTGTGGTAGTTACACAACTTTATGTCAACTTGATACATAAGAAAGAAGGAGGGGAGTCCAGCTTGTCAATCAGGTCACAGCCTGGTGATGCCTCCTTGTGGGTGTGGCCTTCTCATGAGGATCCTGGGAGTTTCCTCTCTTCCTCCTCACTTTCACCTTCCAGTTGACAAGTCACATGGAGCCACGCTGATGGCAGCCAGAGCCCTGGAGATGCATCCACTGCCACTGGACTTCCAGGACGTTCTACCCACCAGCCTGTCATCCTCCTGCATTTGGCATCATTGCATGTGCTGTGTGACCCTAAAGAGGAATTTATGGTCTAATATTGGACTTATAGGCTATTGGACTTGATCTGCTCTGGGCTGGGATGTTTTATTGATGCATAATTACTTCTTGATATAAAGTTCTCATATATACATATATATATATGAGTGTCTATGGATTTGTTTCTCTAGTCCCCACAATAACATATCTGATTTTTGGCTATAGAGAACCCCTCTGCATATATTTATGGTTCTCAAAACTTTCTCCTGTTAAACATTAACCCTTTTTTGAAAAATACAGAAAGCTGCAGATAGAGCGATGGTGAAGAGCACGGGCCAATGAAGTTTGCCCCACTACTTGTCAGTCTAGTAAGCTCGGCCATGGCGCCACTGCTCTGAACTTGTTTGCATATTGCTAAAATGGGACCATCCATTTGACCTAACCTCTCCGAGTTAAATAACATAAACGCTATTATGTACTTAACCTTCTCCTAGCATTTATTAGGCACTTGATGAACACGGCAACTGCTGTTTCTATCTGGGACCACAAATAAGAAAACCAGAGAAAGAAACAAATAGAACATTTTTTCCCCTCTATCTCCATGCACCTGGCTTTCAGACACAGTCATGTCAACTGTTCCCTAGAGGTGCGAATGACCAGAGAGGAGCAGATGTCTGAGGTTTGATCCGGAGGAGACACGCCCCACCCAGGATGATCTACAGACTCCTGCAGAACAAGCGAACGGAGACAGATGCGAGGTGAGGAATTCCTTCTTGCCTCCTGTCACCTCTTCCATGCAGATTTCTAGCTCTGGAAAGGAGACCCCAAAAGAGAGATCCATCACCCAGGATGGGGGTTCACTCAGCCTTCTGGTTGTGTGGTCTTTATAGAGCGTGGTTGTTTATTTCATTTCTCTGTTACTCTGAACTGGAAATGACTCTAAGAGAGAGAGTTAGCATTTCAGGAAAACCAAAAGGTTGTTCAAAATCACCGGTTGCTCCTGGGGAGAAAGATAACGTTTCTACTCTCATAAAGGGTTATAGCCTTGGAAACTCATAGGGGCAGTTCTCCCTTGTCCTTTAGGGTCACTGAGTTAGAATTAGAATCAACTCAATGGCAGTGCATAAGTCATGCTGATGTTGTCACAAGCTTTCGAGTCTACTCTGACTCATATAGGCCTAGAAGACAGGACAGAGCTGCCCCACCAGGTTTCCTAGGCTGTGGCATAGTGGTCCCACATTTAGCTACTAAATGCAAGGTCAGCAGTTCAAAACCACTGGATGCTCCATGGGAGGAAAACGGGCTTTCTACTCCCTTAAAGAGTTATAGTCTCGGAAACCCACAGGGGCCATTCTATCCTGTCTAATAGGGTTGCAATAAATTGGTATTGATTGACCAGATAGTAGTGAGTCTGTTTTTTGTTTTGGTTTAATCTTTACAGTAGCAGGTCACCAGGTCTTTTCTTGGGTGGACAAGCTGATGGATTCGAACCATCAGTCTTTGAGTTAGCAGCCTAGCCACTTAACCACTGCACCATGGACACCAATGACTCCAGAACCAAGAGCTCCTCTCCCTCCTCAACTCCCTGAATGGAGTCTCCCACCCTTGGAGGGTGGTCCTTCAGGATTCCCGGTCCCAGTGGGCTAGATCCACCAATGAATGGCACAGCAGGCCTGGAGGCTCCTTCCCTGCCTACATGGGAGAAGAGCTTTGGGAAAACGCCTGAGGTTTCCTTAGGTCTGTGTCTTTGTTTTGAATCAGGGGGGTGGGGGGGGGCAGACACCTGGACTTTTACAGGCCATGCCTTTTCTCACGGCCGGCTGAGACTGAGAAGCTCTTCCCAGAGAGCTTCTCTCCTGAGAGCCCCCAGCTAGAGAATGGATAGGATCAGCTAGGGTGCGCTTGCGTTTCCCAATGATGCAATTATTTCATCCAGGTTTTCATTGCTTTCCAGAAGCACCTAGTGTTAACGCAAGGAGTTGTAAATCTTTTAGAGTGCCCAGACCTAGTCTTCCATGAAATTATATTCATGAGCCAAAAAAATAATGAGCACATCGGGGAGTGGGGGGAACAGTGCTCACCTGGGTTGGAGTGTCAAGACCACCTTCAGGATGAAGGATGCGAGAGCCACTGCCCGAGCTGGAGCCACCTATTCTGCTACCCGAGCTGTAGCTTCCTCCTCCATAGCTGGAGCCACCTCCTCTGCCGCCCGAGCTGGAGCTTCCTCCTCCATAGCTGGAGCCACCTCCGGAGCCAAAGCCGCCACTGTGGCTGGAGCCAGCCCTGGAGCTAGAACTGGAGCCTCCTAGGAAAATGCCGCCCCCGCCTCCGCCTCCGGAGCTAGAGCTGTCACCGAACCTAGAGCTGCCTCCTGAACTGAAGTTGGCCCTGGAGTCATAAGGCTCCACATCCCCTACAGCCAGGCTGAGGAGGCAAAGAAGGCCAACTAGGGAGAGGAGATGGGGTCTCATCTTGCCCCAGAGGCTGAATTCACTGGTTTCTGCACAGATCCTCAGCCTTCTTATAGTCACCAGTGGGGATTTCCCGTCCTCCAATCTACAGGGAAAGAGGAAGTCACTGGGGGCGTGTGAGCAAACCCCCCCACAAGAGGTTCAGAACACCCAGGAACCTGAGTCACGTCCTCACCTTGTCACCGGCCCCACTCTGTGAACTTCCCCTACATCCGGGTACCACCTGCCAAATATTAACTCTAATGTGTGTTCTCAAGGCCCAGTGTCTGGTTTCCCCCTTGGTACACTTCCTGAGGGAGCCCGGATCAAAGTAGTCTTTGTGGATAAAGGAGACCTGAGGCACCAGAGGAAAAGGCCACCATCAGTCCTTAGCCCAGAAACCACTTGCCCTATTCTCCCCTAGTTTAAGGAACGCAGAGACCCGGGCTCCGGTCGGGTGCAGGGGAAGTGCGAGCTGTCTGAAGCTCCCCTTTTCCATCCCTACCTGCATGGGAGTGTCTGATCTGTCCCCTGTAGTGTCTGCTGCAGTGATTTGCTCTCAAAAACCCCCCTCCGAGGCATTTTATCTCAGTTGACAAAGTCCAGATCCAACTCGACAGCTACCACTAGTCTGATCCAAACAAATGACTCGGGTGTGTGTTGGTCCACCGGGCACCTAGATGCTCCACACCGAGCAGGGTCTCCACCTGACCTCCAACCCGCAGAGCCTGCATGAGCTGCCAGCCTTCTACAGCCCCAGCCTGGCTTTTCTGGAGCCAGCGCCCATTTGCCCCTCTCCAGCACCTCAAACTCTGCTGTAAAGTGGAAAACACGAATTGGTCCGAAAATGCAAAACCAACTCAGGCACTCAGCCCCTGTCACTCCCCCCCACCGCCCCGTCACCCTAAGATATTTCTCTGCCTGCCACAAGAGACGCTCTAAAGACCTAGTCCGAAAGGGGTCTTTCACAGCTTCGTCTCAGGAGCTCCCAGACTCACGGAATACAACACAGGGAGAAACCCTGGGGGCACATGGAAGAGAAGAGGGGATACAAATGGATGAACAGAGGGTAAGATGGAGACTAGATGCGGGGAGAAAGGACGGTGTCTTTCCCGTGTGCCCACATGAGCTTGTACCCAGGCTCCAGAGCCTAATCCCGCCCTTGGGTTGAGAAAGTGATTTGGAAGTCCACCCCGCCCCCGCAACCCCACCTCCACCTGCCCTGCCAACTCATCCAGCCTCCCCCCCTACATCAGCCTCCCCACCGACATCACCCTTCCCCATCCACGTCAGCCTCCCTAATTTTAGGAACAACATTGGCCCAGCCATTCAACTGTGCTTGCCCCCTTCACCCAGCCCTGACATCTCCCGAAACACCCTTGTCTTGATAGCTACAGGCGAAGACTGGCAGCCATGAGATTTTGTCCTTGGCTTTGGTAGGCAGCAGAAGGGAGAGGGCCATGGTGATAAGAGGTAGGGAGAAAGGCGTGTCTCTGCAGACCCCGACCCACAGCATTCCACTCAGAACCAGAAGCTCTGTGTGAGGTTTCTGGAGACAACACGGTGGACCGCGGCAAGGGCACTCTGCGTGGTGGACTCAAGGTCAGGGACAGGTGGCCGGCACATTGTCACCTGCTAGGAGGGGGCGTGGGGGCGTGCACATATATTGAAGCCCCATCTTGCAAACTGTGCCCTCGGAAGGACTGTCAGAATGCCTTTTCGAGTGGAAAGGTGCCCGGATAGTGCAGGGGGTTAAGCAGTGGGTTGCTAACAGAAGGGTCCGCGGCTGGAACCCACACGTGACTCCCTGGGAGACAGATGTGGCAATCTGCTTTCAAACTCGTCTCCCACCTCGGCAACCCTCCGGAGCCTTCTGCACTGTCCGCTAGGATGGCTGTGAGTCGGAATCGACTGGACAGCAGTGGGTTAGTTCGACATGTATTTTAAATACACATTTTTAGTGGCTTGTCTTGGTATAAGTCTGTCACAAATGTTGCGGGAGACCTACTAAAAATGTACTTGTCATCCAAAATTCTAATTGAAGCGAGTGTCTAGCAACCTTACTGTTGAAACCTGCTGGCTCTCCCCAGGTGGGGTATCATGAGACAGGAGGTGGGTTACAGAACCTGCATGAAGGTCACTGTCCCTGAGGGAAGCAACTCAGCCTTGGCCTCTTTGACCTCACGTTCTAACCATTCTGACACCCAGTCCAAAGCAGGGGGAAACAGAAGACCACGGTTTACCCTTCGTAACCTCAGAAGACACTAACCTTGAGTCTTCAGCCTCTCCCACCCTTGCGGCAGAATGAGGACCAGATGTCCTGCTCCCATTATTCTGAGTCTGAATGCGATGAATACGGATCTGGCGAGAAGCGCCTCTCTCCTACCTCTCATCACCATCGCCCTCTGCCGTGTGCTCGCCAAAGCAAAGGCCGAACGCTCATTTGCTGCTCGCCTCTGCTGGTGGTTATAATGAGCCTGCCTGTCTTCCCATCAAGGCCCTTGTCAGTGCCCTTGTGAGGATGAAAACTCTCAGTAACCATGGCAGCCAGTGGCTGTGACTACCTTTGGGCTTGCCTACGGTCCATCATTCAGAAGACTCCTAACCAGGGGTGTTACATTCCTGCGGGGATGGGCCAACAGTTCTCCCCAATACAAACAGGCTGCAGGCAGGAGAGCGCCCCCACTCTATGGTGTTTGCAAGCTGCTTGGTTCCTGTGTGCCTCTCCCTCAACTCCAGAAGAAAACTTTCATCCCTGAGGGAGCCTCACATGCACAAAAGCATTGGTGATGCCTCAGTAATGAGATTATTAATAATAATAGTTTGATCAGTTCCTCTGCAAATACCTCTGTCCTAGGAAACCACGAGCCTCCGGGTTATTTGACAGTCTCGGATGCAGGAGCAAATTGTCAATGCTGCAGAACAAACAGTGTATTATTTATAAAAATATGCTCAGGCACCGGCCTCCGTCCAGAGGAACAGGTCACTGAAATTCACTGAAGTCCTGCAGCATTCCTCACTGACAGCTGGAAGGGAAGTTCCCGTGTGGGGACTTCATTAGGAGAACTCCCTAAAGCTGTGCTTCTTAAAGAGTTGCCACACACCGGGTAGCTACCCAGACAGGTGCAACCTATCCTTTCATCCCTGCATCATTAAAAAAACTCAATGCCAAACATACTGTGGGGCTTTCAGAGGAGAATGCCTCTGGAGTCTCTGGGGGTGCAGACCAATAGAGGCTGGGTTTGCTCAGTGGGCAAACTGACCCGTCTCCTGCCCGCTCACTGCTCCCTCATCCCTCTCTTAGCAAGATCCATAAGCATATGTAAAAATAATGACCCCATGACACCATTCATGCAAACCCCCAAAGTGGGTCTTCAGAGAACAATGTGTGTGCGGCCCTACTGTGTGCCCCACACGCTAGTGGGACCAATGGTGAGTTACAAAGAAGGAGGCATCATCTTGCTATTGCCAATACCTAGTCCCTCAGGGGAGGCAGACCCTTTCAGGGAATAGACTAACAGGAAAAACAACAAATTGAACCTAAACCCAATTCCATGAATTCTGAGGGATGATGGGATTGAGTGTGGTGCCCAGCCCAAGTGGGTTAATGTGAAAAGAAATCACCAGGTGGCCAGCTTCTTGAGGATGGAGACCACGATCAGGCCTGCTTTGAATCTCCACTGTCAAGCCCGGCGCTTGGCACTTACCAAACACCAAATCCTCTATCGCTGAGTTGATTCTGACGCATAGCGATCCTAAATAGAGTTTCCAAGGAGCACTGGGTGGGTTTGAACTGCCAGTCTCACAGTTAGCAGTCCAACACTTACCCAACCCCATCACCAGGGCTCCTTCTGTGTGGCACTTGGCACTTGGTGCTCAGTAAATGTGCCCACTGGATGTTGCAGATTAGAGGAAGGTATGTAACAAATATGTGAGTCAATGAATGAGTTGTCTTTAGAAGAACAATGATGGGAATTCTACTTATTATTGGAGAAAACACTACATTTTAAAATTAGTGTTGTAGAAACAGTAGGATGTACTGAATTCTCTCCAGGGCCATGAAGACACCCATACCTTCCAACTCATGACGTCTGTAACAACCTAACAACTCTCCTTTGGATCAGAGGCCAGCAGGTTGCTCCTCAGCCTAATCTAAACTCCTACATCAACTCTAAGTCCCTAACCAGACCGCCTATCCAGAGTTACCTAGATCTAACCCACCATGGTCTAGAAGGCTCAAAGCCTATAGCACTGTGGTACCTTCATCAAGTATCTGCAGCAAAATCACCAATGGTGACAGAATGCAGAACCGAGTTAGTGAAAAACACCAATGAAAACTATTGCAAAGTTCTGTGCAAATTCTAAAAGGCAACTAGAAAATTATTAAAAGATTGTTGTTAGGTACTGTGGAATCAATCCTGACTCACAGCAACCTTTTAGGGGTAGACCTGCTTCATGGGGGTCTCTAGACTGTCATCCTTGAGAGCAGAAAAACAGGGTCTTTTCAACCTTAGAGTCACTGGGTAGATGAATGAACCACAACAGCACTGAGAAGTATTTCCTCACCAGTGCAGAGACAGGAAACATCCCACCAGTACCAGAAGTCAGAGGAACTCCGGAGAAACCAAATGACAGGCTTACCCCTAGAGCTTACAGGGTGGAGTCTGCACAGAGACCTGGGACCACCTATTCCACTTGATATCTCCCACCACTGCACCAAGGCATGCTTCATTTCATTCCCACATGAGCACCTCAGTTTTTCACACGCTGGGATATTGTAAATTGCCCGGTCACACCTCAAAGCCCGAGTAAGTTGCTCAAAAACCAGATGTGAAAGTGTTCCTGTTCCTGCTTATCTTGCTTATCATAAGTCCCTGTTTGCCTCACATCTAAACTTCCTGAGATAAAATGCTAAGGTTGTCAGCTCCCCCTATTTTCTCATCATTAGTTGCACTTCTCCAGCCACATGAATCTCTCCCTTGGAGAAAGAAAGAAATCATGACCACCTAGAAATTTGAAATGTGACCCCCTCAACCACTGTAACATTTTCAGGTTGAGCCCTGTCTCTTATGCTCCTCTTTCATATACTTCTCTGCCTAAATCTTATCCAACTCTCTGGGTAGCAGGATTCGACAGGTCAATGTAGTGAGAAGGGCAACGAGTTCAAAACACTGAGCAAGCGTATTGGATCTGCCACCTTGTGACCTGAGCAACGTTGGACACATGAGCAGAGTCGAATCAATTAGACCTGAGATTTTTCAATAGGGTGGTTTATACCTTCAATTGCCAAAAGAATGAACAAATTTATCTTAGAAAAAATATAATCAAACAGGGACATTGACTAGCTTATTTTGGACACGTTATCAGGAAAGAACAATCAGGAAGAAAAGGCATCATGTTTGGTAAAGCGGGCTGCCAACAAAAATGAAGAAAGCTTGCATTGACGTAGACTGATACAATGCTAGGTCAGAGCATGCCACCCATGATCATGAAGATAATCCAGGGATGGGCAATGTTTCCTTCTGTTAGACATTTAAGATCACCATGAGTTAACTAAGAACAACAGCCCCTAGGCCCCAAACCATCCTGAACATTTGAGGAAGCCCGCAAGAACTAGCATCCTGGAACAGAGCACTTTGCTGCTCTCTCAGAATCAATGGACACCAGAAAGTGGACAATCCTGCCCAAGGAAAAGCAGAATCCTCCAGTACTTCTCCCATGTTCTCAAAGTGCTGACCGAGGATGAGCTGGGGCCCCCAGAGAGGGGACATGCTCTTGCCCACCACAAGAGTACAATGCCCTTGGAAGCAATCACGACTGAAGTCTGACGGTGTTAGCTGTGTTCCAGCAGCTGAGACAGCACAGAAAGCACGATGCTGGCAGGCTCAGAGAGCCCTGCCATGATGGATTCATCCCTCAGCCGCTGGGGGCAGCCCTGCTGGTATCAGAAGCCAGGCATAGATGTGGATGACATCACTGAGGCCATGCTGCTGGAATCCTGCATCCACCGCCTGCTGGCGCTCTACTGCCGGGGGCAGCCCCCCTCCCTGAACCTGCTCCAACTCTTCCTCCAGACTTCCTATCAGACTGCGATGGGAAAGGCCCTGGACCTCATCACTGTCCCCTTCAAACCCATTGTCAAGTACAAGTCCCCTTTCTCCTCCTTTTACCTTCCTGTAGCTGCTGCCATGTATGTGGCGGGCATTGATGGGAGATAGGAAGGGGACGGTGCTGGAGAGGGGCGAGTTCTTTCAGATGCAGGAGGATTACCTGGACCTCTTCTGTGACCTCAGGGTGACAGGCAAGGTTGGTTGGCACTGACATCTAGGACAACAAATGAAGCTGGCTGGTGGCTCAGTATCTGCAGCGGGCCTCTCTGGAGCAGCGCCGGTGCTGCAGGAGAAGTATGGACAGAAGAAGGCAAAGCAGGTGGCCTGGGTGAAGGAAATGTTTGAAGAGATGGCACCGCTGGCTGTCTTCAAGCAGGGCGAGGAAGCCAGGCTCATTGAGCCATGTACCACCCCGCAGGAGGGGCTGACACACAAGATCCACAAGTAGAAAAAGTGACCTGGAGCCTGCAAGGGCAGGGAGGGGAGGTCTCAATAAATGATTGTTTAACCTTGTTACAAAAAAGAGAGAGAGAGACTGAACCATTGAAATGTGACTTCTTCAAAGTGAGATGGGTGGTGAGTTCAAGGCACCCTGGTGGCACAGATCAGTAAGCACCCGCAGTTAAACAAGAGACTGGCAGTTCAAGTCCACCCATTGTCTCCACGGGAGAAAAGCCCGGAGATTTGCTGCTGGACAAAACTACAGTCTAGAAAGCCCTATGCGGGCCACTTCGTCTCTATGAGTCACATGTGGTCACTGCGAGTCAAAGATCAACTCACCGGAACACAAGAGCTTTGTGAAAGAAAAGAATGTAAAATATATCATGAATCGTTACTGTATTGAGCACATACTGAAATAATAATATTTAAGGTATACTGAGTTAGATGAAATATTAAAATACGTTTCTTTTGGTTTACTTTTTCATGTGGTTACTAGGACGCTTGCAAAGGCGTAAGTGGCTTGAATAGGTGCATGCTTCAATTGCTCGGTGTAGCACTGGGGTGTACAGCTAGCTTAGCTGTGATGGAGAAGTTTCTAGAAGTTACCAAATGGCTCTTTCCACTCACAGGAGGTTAGCCAACCAGGTGGGTTGCTGTCATTGGATTTCAAATTTCACATTTCTTCATACGTGTCGAATGTTAGAGAAATCTGCTTTAAAGAGCCTCAAATTGAAATTAGAGATACTGTTCCTTCAAAAGCTTATTATCAGAGAGAAATGAGAAATAATTCAGAGCTATTTGGGACCAAAGTAAAGGAATCATGTCAGGAATGATCTCTAAAGGAGTGG